TCCACTGACTTACTATGTATGACAAGTCTGTGAATTCAGTACTATTATGACGTCCATATTCTAACTGAAACCATCTAGGCGCAGAGGTATAGGTAACTTGCCTGAGGTTACACAGCTAGTAAGTGGATGAGCCAAGATTTGAATCACGGCATTTCGGCTCGAGAATCTATACTCGAACCCTGAGCCATAATGACCACCTTATTGAGGATAATAGGTCATGTTCCAAGGAGACGGAGGGCTTTCATAATACTGATTATTTTTCTCGATAACCCCAGAATGACTATGGTTTAGGGCAGGCTGTGTTCCTCCGTTTTATATCCTTACTTACTGTGTTTTCTTTTGTACGTACCTTGTCTGGCTTGTTTCCCACCCCCCTTCCCTGTGAAACATGTATTTTCGGTATTCCTACCTCCATACAATTTCCCGTTTCTTCTAATTCTTCTTCCAGTTTCTAAAGGATGAGCAACCAGACCACCCCACCCGTTAGGACTGTGTCCAACGCAGGAGTCGTGCGGCTTTGAGGGAGGACTCCAGCCTTCCGGGGACCGGCTCTGACGCCTCTCACAGGCCTCTGTATTGCTGGCTTGTTTTCCACTCTCGACTGTGACCCAGACAGTCTGGATGGCTGGGTAAGTGCCTTCTCAATAAGTGAGGTGTCACGAAACAGAAATTCAAGGCATTTTGACTCTCCCACCTGTTCAGAAGTGTTGTAGTCATCATCAGAATGAGAAGGATGGCCTAGTTCCTCAGGCTTTTGGGTAGCCATCTGCTGCTTAGAAGTAGAGAGATGTGGCTACAACTCGTGTAAAAATAGCCCCTCCAGATGGCTGAGGGGCAAAGTTTCAACTCAGCAGCTTGATATAGCTGAGCATTCAAATTTTGAAGTAGGAGGAGAGAGCTATGTGAGAAGTAGCCAGAGAGCCCGGGCTGTTGGCCAATCACAAGCAGAACAGTATATGCCAGGAGAGATCGCATAACATGGCAGATTAGCTGTTAAGATTTCCTGTTTACTTCATCTCTCCACCTTCCCCGATGCCACCCTACCTCCAGTTCAAGGAAAGCACACCCACACATACTTGGCTGGTTTTTTAAAGGAGTCAAGAATGGAAGTAAATGTTAAAGCCCTCTGGGATTCAACAGCTGTGGCTTGGGCTCCTGGGGTGATGCAAATGATTAGTGCACTCAGTTGCAAACTGAAATTTTGGATGTGCAAGGCTACCCAGAGGTGCCTCAGAAGAAAGACCTGGTGATCTACATCCCCTCAAAACCAACCTTGGGAAACCCTGTGTAGCACAGTTGAACTCTGACACACGTGGGTCACTGTGCATCAGAGGCGTCTCCGTGGCAACTATGTGTGTGTGTGTGTGTGTTTTAAACTGCTTGTTCTGAGATGAGAAAATTGAAACAGGAAGATGAAATGAACTGCCTGCATGTTAGTGGACCTCGGACACTCTCACTTCTTGTCCCGGGCACTTGTTTCTCCTCTGTGTGAGGGTATGTGCACTTAATCCTGCGCTCTGCTCTGAATAATTTTAAACGGAAAACATGAAAAGCCTCTCGTTCAAAAACAAACCAACCAACACGCGATATTGCAAAACCCCTCTGAGATTGCTTCCACTCATCAAAACAAATATCCAGACTCTGCGAGCTGACTCACCAGCTCAAACCCTTTTATCTCCCAAATGAAAACTGTACTAATCAAAT